AGCAAACCATCGTGTACATCACCAATGACACCAACCCATTTGAGGAAAATTGGGCTACCCAATTTGAGGGCTATTTTGTGAGCAATCGCTTTTAATGATTCGCGAATCTTTATTCTATACAAGTTATGTAACTTACACCTCTTTAGACCAGAATGAAGAAAGGAGTGAATTCGTTCCGTCATCAGAAGGGGAAACGAACCATGGGAGAATTTTCCGTAGTGCTGCTAAGAAAAGAAGATGAGGACGATGACGAAGCTTACGAGAAAGATACGAGGGTTTGGGTGAGTTACAGAAGATAAACGCTCTCTCGTCATATATTTTTCATCTGTTCAGCGACAACTTGACCCAAATATTGGCGCGAGCAGCACTATTGAAGACCTTGAAACTCAGTAAGACATATTTTTGATTGCCCGAGAGTTCTTAGGCGTAAGTCGGTTTTTTTCAGGGTTTTCCAAAAGACATTTTCACTCAGAGCTTTTAGCAACATATCATTCGAATTGGGTCCTGGAGTAAAATTTAGCGTGGCTGTGTAAGTTTCCCTTAATTAGCGCTTTCGTTCAAATATTTACAAAGGGAATTTTTTAGTTATGCATTAGCAAGCGAGGCTCGTCCTCCTGCAAAGGAATATGTTGACTATGATACGGAGGCTCCCGTAGAGAAACGGCAAGTATGGCTACCAAAAGATGAAGTAGGTAGAATATAATATTTAGTTTAAAGTTTTCAATTAACTTATTGAAACTTGAAACTAAATTATTTTGGGACCAGTTCTCGTATTCACAGCTTTGTATGGCGTTGTTTCATTTTCTCATATATTTAGCAGTTTTACTATATTACATCGATTTACCTCTTATCTTTAAATTGTTATCTCATTTTCTTCGTTGGGTGACAGGAGCAAAGCCAAAGCTTCACGCGAAGTCATGGCCCACAAGTCAAAGAAGAGGTAGATTCACAGACTGATGTGCTGGAAGATACAAAATGGCTAGGTACAATTTTTAAAGAAATTATTTTGATTCCACAATCTTAAGTTCCATGATTTTTTCACAGAAGAAGAAATCGATAACCGGACGCGCGTTAAATTCGAGTTGAAGAAGGCAATCAAAATTGGTGGAGAATGCATAGTCAGCGAACAGAGTGAAATTGAAGAGTTGGGTAGATTTGATGCGAAAGGTAAGTTGTTGATCTTCTAGGCTGAATGGATATAGAGCTTTTTTTCATATTTCATAATCAATTCAGGAATTGTTCTTCTTGGATTCAGGCCAATATCCGAGGTTAACCTTATGAATCATATCCAGCCATCCCGATTTATATATCCCGATGAAAGTGTTAGTCTTACCCCACATAAAAATATCACGCTTTTTTTGTTCTTTTATCTCTTATAGAAAACATTTTAGAATGTTCTTGGCTCTGCCTGCCTCTATCGTGCTTTATTAGAACGTTGCTGGGAAAGAAAGATGGCTATGATTTGTCGCTTCTGTTCACGCGCCAACCAAAAAGTGCGTCTAGTCGCACTTGTACCGCATATGTCCCATAAAACCGAAGTAAGCTGTTTTTGACTCTTTAATTTTGTGTTAAATTATAAGCAACTTGGTTTAGAGCAGGACGGATACTATCCGTGACTACGATTTCGATGGATTCCATGTGGTTTTCCTACCTTTCGCCGAAGATGTGCGAGATGTTTCGGAAAAGATGAAGTGTCCTCAGGGCGAATGGCCGCATCGTAAGCTTTTGAATTATGGAGCGAAATGAAAGAGTTGTAGAGTCTAACTTATCGTTACGATGCAGAGGTATTTAGAACAATACAACACTTGAAATTGCCGAGTTTGGCTATATCCATCTCGCAGCATCGTTTGCTAAGATCTCTAGTTTCCTCTTCCTTTCCTTCCTTCATTTGTGAAAGTATCATGATAAATCGTTAAATACTCAATGTCCCAAAAAATGTGTTTGTTTAGTCGTCATTAACTTCTGTATTTCCGCATAATTTCTAGGCATTGATATTCTATCTAAAAGAGCTAGCTCAAAATTGATTTTGAAC